CTGAGCCTCCTGTAGACGGTCTGCAGGGTGGACAGCAGACAGATGGACAGAACCAGGATGTAGAAGGGCAGTAGAGAGGTCTGCGTCAGCCGCAGAAACAGGTCCTGACCCGGTGTTTGGAGCTCGTCGTGGCACAGGAGAAAGTTGGTGACAAAGTCTCTGAAACACAAAGGAACCACTTTAAACTGGCTGCAACAAGACGGAACCAGACTCAAGAACCAGACTACAGGTAGTCATCATCACTCTGGTGAAATCACATCTGACCCATCCCCATGGGGAGCAGCGAGCTGCAGCTCAGGAGCCATTAGGGGGTTTAACCCCCGATCCAAGCCGAGTGTCAAGCAGGGAGGCGTTGGTTTGCACGGGTCTTTGGTTTGACCCGACCGGGACTTGAACCCCGACCTCCCAGTCCCAGGGCGGACATGCTGCCACTAGGCCACTGAGAAGATGCTAAAAAACCAGACTAAATATGTGGTCTAGAGGCTCGAGTGTTCCCCCTGGGACTGGGAGGTCAGGGTTCAAGTCCCGGTCGGGTCAAACCAAGGGAGATGTAATTTCTCCAGGGTGTAATGATTACTAATGGGAATCAAACTGGGGAACCAGACTAGTAGTACCTTCAGGGTTAAATTAGCGAGAAAGCCACGAGGCGTAGGTTGGGAGTGGAACACAAACGCGCGTTTACGCATTTAAGAAAATGTAAAACGAAATCATCTTGGCAAGTTACAGCGGAGAGGAGTGGTTTGTGGTCCGGACATGCAAAGAAGAAACGATCTCCTGTAGCACCTCTCCAGATAAAAACCACGAGGTGCTCCACAAGAACAGAAACGTAAAACACATACAACTGGGAAAAGTAAAAAAGTGAATCAAAATGAAGAAAGAGAAAACGAATAAAGGAGGTAATCAGTGGATCTCAGGAAAGGCAGGATGAGGGGAGGGAGGTGATGAAGGTCCCACCAACAGGTGAGTTTAAAGGAGACCACTGAGTCCCCTGATCTCAGGCTCAGGGGCCACAGCAGCACCTTTGGTCTTTAAGTCACGTTCACTTAGAAAGCACTTACAGCACACGTGTCGGAAGACATCAAATCCCAACCGTAACAAAAAACCAGATACAGAGAACCATAAAAGACCACACGTCCAACAAACACATCAATAAAAGCCAGAACTACGAAACCTCAATAATGATCAACATCCTCCAGGACGGGTGAGGATGAGCCCGAAGAGGAAACGTGGGTCCCCCTTCCCACGGGCTCACCACTCGTGGGAGGGGCCAAAGGGGTCGGGTGCAGTGTGTGACGGGTGGTAGTCGAGGGCGGGGGCCTTGGCGGTCTGATCCTCGGCTACAGAAGCTGGCTCTTGGCACATGGAACGTCACCTATCTGGTGGGGGAGGAGCCTGAGTTGGTGTGTGAGGTTGAGAGGTTCTGACTAGATATAGTCTGGCTCACCTCAACGCATGGCTCTGGCTCTGGAACCAGTTTCCTTGAGAGGGGTTGGACTTTCTACCACTCTGGAGTTGCTCCCACTGAGAGGCGCCGAGCATGGGTGGGCATACTAGTTGCCCCCCATCTTGGTGTCTGTACGTTGGGGTTTACCCTGGTGAATGAGAGGGTAGCCTCCCCCCGCCTACGTGTGGGGGGAGGGGTTCTGACTGTGGTCAGTGCTTATGCACCAAACTACAGTTCAGACTACCCACCCTTTTTGGAGACCTTGGAGGGGGTGCTGGAGAGCGCTCCTTCCGGTGACTCCCTCGTTCTGCTGGGGGACTTTAACGCTCACGTGGGCAACGACAGTGAGACCTGGAGGGGTGTGGTTGGGAGGAACGGCCCCCTGATGTGAATTCGAGTGTTTTGTTATTGGACTTCTGTTCCAGTCATGGATTGTCCATAATGAACACCATGTTCAGACATAAAGGTGTCCATATGTGCTCTTGGCACCAGGATACTTTAGGCTGCAGCTCGATGATCGACTTTGTTGTTGTTTCATCTGACCTGCGGCCGCATGTCTTGGACACTCGGGTGAAGAGAGGGGCGGAGACATCAACTGACCACTACCTGGTGGTGAGTTGACTCAGATGGTGGGGGAGGATGCCGGTCAGACCAGGCAGGCCCAAACGTTTCGCGAGGGTCTGCTGGGAACGTCTGGCAGTCTCCCGTCAGAAGGAGCTTCAATTCCCACCTCCGACAGAACTTCCAAAATGTTCCGGGGGAGGCGGGGGACATTGAGTCTGAATGGGCCCTGTTCCGTGCCTCCATTGTTGAGGCGGCCGACCGGAGCTGGGGTACCAGGCCCTCTGATACGGGCTGTTAGGTCCCTGTAAGACTGGTGTCAGAGCTTGGTCTGCATTATTGGCAGTAGGCCAGACTTTGCTCTTTGCAGATGATGTGGTCCTGTTGGCTTCATCAGAACGTGATCTTCAGCTTTCGCTGGAGCGGTTCGCAGCCGAGTGTGAAGCAGCTGGGATGAGAATCAGCTCCTCTAAATCTGAGACCATGGTCTTGATTCGGAAAAGGGTAGAATGCCTTCTCCGGGTCAGGGACGAGGTCCCGTCCCAAGTGGAGGAGTTGAAGCATCTCGGGGTCTTGTTCACGAGTGAGGGAAAACTGGAGCGTGAGATCGACAGGTGGACTGGTGCTGCGTCTGCAGTGATGTAAAAAGACTTATTCCCATCTGATCTCACAGCTTTCTTCAAAGCATCAGTCAGCATCCATTTAGAGAAGTTTGTCTGTTCTTCTGCAATCCTGCCTGAGAGCACGAGTCCGCCCGACTCCCAGAGAGGCCACACATGCAGCCTGGGAGGAGATTACATCATCAGCAGCACCCTGGCTAGATGAGCCGAGGCTTTGGCACTAGTGGTGGGAGGAACCAAACACGAGGCCGTAACCCAGGCTGCCGTCTCCCATTAGCAGTCAGCAACCAGATCCCACACGTTCACACCAGAAGCCGGCACCAGGACGCGCGTCCCTGCCGTGACAAATTCATTGGTGTAGTGTTGAGGGCTCTATATACCAGGAGGAACGTCTAGCCCCTTCATGCTGACAGATGTTTATATGAAGCCTGGTTTATGCTTCTCCGTCAGCTCCGCAAGGGACAGACACGCACGGACGGACGGAAGCGTTTTGCTCTCATGCTTCTCCGTCTCCTGGAGAGTGTTGCAAAGCAATTCCCCTCCAGGACAGCAGAGGGCGTAGCGCTGTTCTGTGGTATCCTGTCATGCATCGGTCCAAGATCGTGTGTTTATATTGTGTTTTTGTGTATATAAGAGACTTTTAACACGGACATATCTGTCTCTCATCCTCCCACCTCTTCATGCGCTCCCCACCTCTAAACCCACGTTTCCTGTCATTTCCGTCCACAAATAAAACGCTTGCTGCGCATCTTTTCACTCCTCCAGTCACGGGAGGATGAAACGTTCATATTTTTAGAGTTTTTTCGCGAGGTATTCTTCAAGCTTCTCCGTGTCTGTCGCTAGTTATCCTCGGCTCTCTTTGCAATGGCGGCGCTGTAAACAACAGCGGCGTCCTGACCAATCACAAGCTTGCGTAATCCGTCTCGTTCGACGGATGTTTAAAAAAGTGGGCTCGACTCCGTACGTACTTGCGTGCCTGCCGGAGCCCTACGCAGGGGCGGGTAATGGCGGTGCGTGTCTCCGCACTGACGCAGACAGAGAAGCATGAATCAGGCTTAAGTCCTTCATGTTCCTTCCCCGGTGTATAAAAGCAAAATGAACCAGTTTTTATTATATAGAAATAAAAAGACACAGACTAGAGAACCGGTCTGAGGCTTTACTCACGACGTCGCCTTCAGCCCAAACTTCACCTCCAGGACCTTCAGCAGGAGGTGGCTTCCAGCTGCAGGCAGGAGTTTCTGAGGGAGAGAGCGGTGGGGCTCATCATTCAGCTCCTAGTCTAGCTCCTTCAGTCCGACTTTACCTTCATGGAATAAGAGAAGGTGATCCCACAGGTGAACACCAGGTGCAGGTGTAGGAGGAGCTTCAGCAAGCGGGCAACAAATGGACCCATTTTCATTCTTCTCTGAAACACAAACATTTCATCTGATTGCTTCACATCCAGGTCAGTTTGAGTGATTAACCTGTGGGCGGGGCTCTAACACTACCTGGAAGTACCTCGCCAGCATGAAGCCTATCAAGAGGCTGAGTAGAGGTGAGCTGAGCAGACAGGAGTTCTGAAAGTGGAACAGGTAGACCAGAACCAGCGAGCTGAGGTAAATCTTCTGAACGTGGTCCGTCTGAATGCAGGATGGGACACAGGAAGTCAAAAACAGCTGATTACAGGTCTCAAGTAAGAACAAATGCCTTGTAAGTCGAACTCTGGGGGAAAAAACACAGGTGTGCCATTTTCAGGAACTAGTAGTGAGTCAGGCAGCAGGTTAGGGAGTCTGACTTTAGCACATCTCTCCTCTGATTGGCTAACAGCAGCAGTTAACGGGGGTGCGTGGGTCCACCTTTGATGCTGGTGTCCACATCCAAATTTAAGCTGGGGGGGGGGGGCTCTGTGCTGTCTTCTCCTGGAACACCTTAGGCCTATCCTGTCCCTGAGCTCCTTCTAGTGGGCGGGGCTTCTGTCTGCCAGTGTGTTGGGGGCTCTTATGTCTGGGGAGGGTGTTGTGGCATCTGCTGGCTCACTCCCAGTTGCCACCTCGTGGGACCCGAGACCTCGCCGCTATGCTCTCCTGGGCGTTGGCGCGACTGCTGGCTTTCCTACAGCGACAGAGGTCTGAAACGAGCGACTCCTTCTGGAAGGTACTGAAACTGTCAGGACAAAGCTGCTGGGATGCTTTCTGAGACCAGAGACCTGTTAGTGTAAGAATCCTTTAACGTTAGCTAGTGCTTATTAACCAGAGTGGACAGCAGGAGCCTTACCTTCTTCTGAGGGACCAGGTCCAAAGAGTCCATCAGCAGCAGGCAGAGTCCCTGGACAAACAGGACGTAGTGGGCGTGTTCCCAGAGCAGGAGGAAGGTGAAGGTGGAGATGCTCATGGTGAGAGAGCAGAACATCTGCAGAGAAACATCCAGACATACTTTCATTTCCACTAACTGGACATCAGAGCTCCTGTCTGGACCAACCACAACCTCTCTGAGCGTCCAGAAACCCGGGATGGGGTCAACCCGAACCCAGATGAATCATTCATGACAAGCCAAACTCGACATTAGCAGCTTTTATTTTGAAATGGCAGTTTTGTTGAGGTTGTTCTGCAGGAAGACAGGAGGGACTGATAACGAGCTTCTAGGAGGTGTGAGGATGGCTTCTTCTACGAACACCAGACTCAGCAGAAGGGTTAGAAGAACTAAACGCTCCTGGACCGTGGCACCACCATCGTGCACCGGAGGTGAAGCCCTCCGGGAGAGTGGGAGACTTAAGACCTGGCATTAACTCGCTGGGTTTCTGTGTGTGTGTGTGTGTGTAAAGCGCTCCATCAATACAACCGAGTCCTTCACTCGGACTTGTTGCCTTGAGGGTGAAGGACTAGCGCTGGTTCACTCATGCAGATTCCTGGGCTAACCCTAACCAGACCTCATGTAGAGAAGAAACAACTGCAGCACCTTTACCTGTGCCTGGCCAGGCACACCTTTACCTGTGTGAAGGCTTCTGCTGAAGCTCTTGGATAGCTTGGCACTGCGCCGAGCTGCATGCATGCTGAGGTTCGTTACTGACTGCAAATCCCTGCCTGAGAGCTCTTTTCTCAGCTAGCAAGGCCTGCTTTGACCAGACTCTCTTGACGGCCAGATGAACATGACCATCAACACCAAACGCCTTCGACACGACCTTCCAGAAGGGAGGAGTGCTGGCTTCTAATTTGTTGAAGCTAAACGAGTCGAAGCAGTTGTGCTGGGTGCGTGCGACGCCTCGACCAGCCTTGGGCTTGAATTGCCTCAGGTCACTATGAAGAGCATCTGGCAGTGATTTTTATTGTCTGGCTCTGCGTTTTAGTATTGGTGGTTTTAATGTGTGTTATTTCCTGGACAGCGCTTCGGTCAGCTCCCGTGCGGCGTGTTCTACGGGCTTTAGACATAAACATGGTATGGAAACTCAGGAACGACCCACCTCAGCAGCGGAGCTCATGTTGGTGATCAGGAATCCTGTCAAAGCTGCAACCTGACAGGAAAAATACGGGACGGCCCAGTTGTCCCGGAGAGGAACCGCTTGGACCACTTTGCTTACGTCCTGTCTGCAAACAGGCAGAAAGAAAACAAGCATGGGTGGAACGTCAGCTCGGGCGTCAGAGACACAGGACTCCTCCTACCTGTTAACCAGGTACCAGGACACGGTCAGCACTCCAGCCACCCAGGTTCCACTCATCATCCAGCTGCACACAAACAGAGCGGTGACGCAGAAGGCCTGCAGGCCCAACACCGCCCCGAGGTAGAAGTAGACGGGTTCTACGTAGTCCTGGTCCACAAAGAACAAACAGGATCAAAGCTGAAGTTCCTCCACCAACACCACCATTCCACCTGTCCTTGGACAAATGATCTGCTGCTCACTATCGGCCGACCGATATATCGGCTGGGACATCGTTGGAGGGTGGGTGTGAGGGGTCACAGCTGCTTCCGACTCGTTTAGCTTCAACAAATTAGAAGCCAGCACTCCTCCCTTCTGGAAGGCCGTGTCGAAGGCGTTTGGTGTTGATGGTCATGTTCATCTGGCCGTCATCAAGAGAGTCTGGTCAAAGCAGGCCTTGCTAGCTGAGAAAAGAGCTCTCAGGCAGGGATTTGCAGTCAGTAACGAACCTCAGCATGCATGCTTTAGCAAAGGTGTGCCTGGCCAGGCACAGGTAAAGGTAAAGGTCCAAAATTATTTTTAAAAGCCGATAAAAATCAAAAACACTCGGCTCCTTCTCCACTGTTGCACCCGAGGCGAGTAGCCAACAAGCTCAGCCATGCTCCTCATCTGGAGGCAGCACGTTTTGCTGCAGCTTAGCATAAAACAGCGTTCTATGCTAGAACCTTCCTTTTACTCACATAGTTTGCACTGTTTCATGTATAGTTTAGGTTTCGTGGTAGCGTGCTTCACTTTGTGTTTTTTAACTTGAACTCAAACTCAGGCGGCGTTGCAGGGCGCTGGAAAGAAGGTGGAAAAAGGACAAGCTACTGATCTCACAGCAGCCTCTGATGGACGCCCTTGACCCGTATCAGAGAAGTGTTGGATCAGCCAGGAACAAATACTCTGCTTGCATAATCTCTCAACACCAGGGTGATCAGCATACACTTTATAGCACTGTCACCTCCATCTTGTCCATAACTGAACCTGGTAGTGTTGATCCCTCTGTGTCGTTGTGTGCTGAGCTCCAGACCTTCTTTCTTCACAAGGTCCGCGACATTAGGGATGGTCTTGTGCAACCAGGATCTGGCTGTCCTGATGGACCACCAGAACCTCCCTCATTCTCTAACTTTACTCCCATATCTCTTAGTGAATTGTCAGATCTGATTGGAAATATGAAACCAGCAGGTTCTCCCGAGGACCCTCTCCCCCTGAGGATGGTGGGTGAGATCATCCCTGTTTGGGCCCTGCCATCTTAGACATTTTTAACTCTAGCTTGGCTACTGGGGTGTTTCCTACTTCTTTTAAAAAGGCGGTTGTGCAACCAATAAAAAAAAAACTGGTTTAGATGACTCAAACCTTGCAAACTTTCGGCCAATCTCCAAATTACCGTGTTTGTCTAAGGTCCTTGAAAAGATTGTCTATTCACAGATTACAGCACAGCTTTTCTCTGGTTGGTGTGTTCCAGTCTGGGTTTAGGCCACTTCACAGTACCGAATCAGCCCTTCTTCGCGTGACCAATGACATCCTGGTGGCTTCTGACTCTGGGTCGCCTGTTTTGCTCCTACTATTAGATCTTTCTGCAGCGTTTGATACCGCTGACCACGATATTTTGCTGGATAGACTTGAGTCATGGGTGGGGCTAAGGGGTATCTCACTTCAGTGGTTCTGCTCATATCTGTCAAACAGGGTTTTCAAGGTCCAGTTGGGTAATTGTTCCTCTACATTCCTTCCACTTCCATGGGGAGTCCCGCAGGGATCTGTGCTTGGGCCTCTCCTGTTTTCAATTTACATCCTCCCCCTGGGTTCCATCCTGAGGAAACATGGCCTGGGCTATCATATTTATGCAGATGATTGCCAGATCTACCTGGCTTTGAACAAACCAGGCTCCCTCTCTCTTCTGGACCAATGTTTGGCTGAAGTGAGGGTTTGGCTTGCCAACAATTTCCTGAAGCTGAGTGATTCTAAGTCTGAGGCACTCCTGATGACCCCTAACAAAACCACACACGTATCTTCTGATTTGGACACTCTCCCTTATGACCTCAAGCAGTGTGTTACCAACCTGGGGGTGAAACTGGATACACGCTTTTCCATGGGCCCTCAGATTAACGCAGTGGTCAGATCGTGTTTTTATCAGCTGCGCAGACTAGTCTGCTTAAAACCGATCCTGAAACGAGCGCACCTGGAATCCGTAATTCATGCTTTTATCATCTCTCGACTGGATTATGCAAATTCCATTTTAATTGGTTTGCCTGCCTCCGCTCTTAACAGGCTTCAGGTCGTACAGAACGCAGCAGCCAGGATTTTAACAAACACCCCTAGAAGAGACCATATCGCACCTGTACTGGCGCGGCTCCACTGGCTACCCGTAAACTTCAGAGTCAAGTTTAAAATCCTGACTTTTGTTTTTAAGGCCCTGAACGGTCTGGCTCCGGATTACCTGTCGGATCTTGTGACTCGTTACGTTGCAAACCGGGCGTTGAGGTCTGCTGATTGCCTGCTGCTTCGCGTTCCATCAATGAAATACAAAACGCGGGGGCAGCATGCTTTTGTCTACGCTGCTCTGACACTCTGGAATGCTCTTCCTCTTTCGGTGAGGCTGGCACCATCCCTCCTCCGGTTCAAGTCGCTGCTTGAGGCTCACTTTTAAGACCAGGCATTTTTAAATCCGTGACTTTTATTATTTTATTATGTGTCTTTTATTGACTGTGATTATCTGCCTTGTTGTGTATTTTATTGTTGACCGTGTTTTGTTTTATATTGTGTTTTTACTTTTTATTCTGTACAGCACTTTGGTCGGCTGCCATGCCGTTTTTAAATGTGCTTTATAAATAAAGTTGGTATGGTATGGTATGGTATCTCAGGCTAACAGAAAGCTCCGTGGAGGTTCCCTAGATCTGGTACTAACCCACAACCAGGATGTAGAGAAGCAGAGCGCTGATCCAGGAAAAGTAATCTACCAGATCACTATCAGACCTTCACCATGCAGCTGCGTACTTATAACACGCAGATAAAAGGGCACGTCATCAGTGATAATATGAACAGTTCCCATGTCCTGGGTGCTACTGTCGAGAGGCTAGCTAACCTCCCAGCACAGTTAGCCCCGGACTTCAAATCTCAGAGCAGATGTGACGCGTTTGCATCTTTTTTCACTGAAATAATCACAAACATCAGATCAGCCATTCATTCCCCTACATCAGCTAACACAACCAGACCACCGACACAGCAACAACCTGGCCACAACGCCAGCTTTCAGCCTGATTAGTACTAAAACACTGGATGACGTAGTAAAGACCCTACATTCCTCTACCTGCTGTCTGGACAGCCTGCCTACTAACTTCTTTAAATGTTTTTAGAGGCCTGAAAGCTGAGGTACTGGAAACTGTTAACTGCTCTTTAACATCAGGTCTTTCTCCTAAACCACTGAAAACTGCTGCTGTGAAACCTTCTAAAGAAGAGGAAACTAGCTCCTCAGTGTTGAACAACTACTGACCCATCTCTTATCTCCCTCTGATGGAAACATCATTGCAAAGGCGGTACTGATCCAAATAAACAACTGTTTAGAGTCAAATAACATCATGGACGGTCTTCAGTCAGGCTGTAGACAGCACCACAGCACAGAGACGGCACTGATCAGGTATTAAACGACATTCGTCTCAACACTGATTCAGGTAAAGCATCTGTCCTGATGATGCTTGACCTCAGTGCAGCTTTTGATACTGTGGACCACGACATCCTTCTGGACAGACTCAAACTGGGTGGGACTATCAGACACAGTGGTTGGCTGGTTCCAGTCCTATCTGAAACACAGGGCTATGTTGTCTCTATTAGAGACTACCAATCATAGCTGATCACCAGGACATGTGGGGTCCCCCAAGGCTCAACCCTAGGACCACTACTCTTTAATCTCTACATGCTCCCCCTGGGTCAGGTCATACTTAACAACAAAATCTCCTATCATAGCTATGCTGATGACACCCAGATCTACCTAGCCCTATCACCTAGTGACTGTCGTCCACTGGACTCACTCTGTCAGTGCCTAGAACACGTAAACGACTGGAAGCAGTCAAACGTCCTTCAGCTAAACAAAGACAAGACTGAAGTTTTTGTCTTTGGCAACAAGAAGGATAGGATGGATGTTATTGCTCAGCTGGACTCCAGGGGAATAAAGACAAAGACCCAGATGTTGGTGTTATCATTGACTCAGACCTGAGCTTAACTGGACACATTAAGGCTAGAACTAAATCAGCGTTTTATCACCTTCATCAAACATCAAGAGTCAGAGTCTCATGTCCAGACCAGACCTAGAGAAGCTTATTCATGTGTTCATCTCCAGCAGGCTGGACTACTGCAATGGTCTCCTAACTGGTCTTCCCAAAAGCTGTGAAGCAACTGCAGCTTGTGCAGAGCGCTGCTGCTAGAGTCTTAACAAGAACCAGGAGAACGTTAACAGCTCGCTTTTAGACCGACAGACTCCGACAGGGGGGGGGGGGGGGGGGGGTCTATCACTGCCGCTCTCGGTCCGCCAGGCCACGCTCCTTCAGAAGCATTTCCTAACAGGACGTGTGGATGACATACGTCTCCACCCATGCCCTGACTCCACCCATGCCCTGACTCCACCCATGCCCTGACTCCACCCATGTCCTGACTCCACCCATGCCCTGACTCCACCCATGCCCTGACTCCACCCATGCCCTGACTCCACCCATGCCCTGACTCCACCCATGCCCTGACTCCACCCATGCCCTGACTCCACCCATGCCCTGACTCCACCCATGTCCTGGCTCCACCCATGCCCTGACTCCACCCATGCCCTGACTCCCACTTTAATAAAAGAACTTGAATCTGGTTTTTTTCTATTGTTCTGAAACCGTTTGCACATTGTTAACCCCAAAAACCCCACATGGGCCTCTACTTCTGACCCACGCCCGAGGAGCAGTGGGAAATGTCAGGGTTCAGGATCTTGCTCAAGAGCACTTCAACACCTTGGCTGTGGGGCCATGCATCAGCCACAGCCACCTGTTTTATCTGTGTCTGGAGTTATGGACCTCTAACAGGTCTTCTGCTCACCTGGCCACCCGAGACTCTGTAAATGAAGCTGAGGATGAGCTCCGGATACAGAAAGAAACGCTCCACAGAGTTTATCGTCTGCCCCGAAACAGTCCCGTTGTCGACCAGCAGCTGGTAAAATCCTGGAAAACAGCAGAGATCAGTTTTCAGTCCAATCAGAGCTTCTGCTGGAGCAGAAGAAGAAGACCAGCACCTTCTGCAAAGGAAGGAGCCGCCAACATTTGCTTGTAGAAGTGATAATAAAGACCGCTACCCCCCTGGAAGGAGAGCTCCCGCTCCAGCTCCTGAAACACAAACACCAGGGTCAGAACCAGAACCTCAGAGGCATCCATTCATTCGTGAATGGTGTTAATAATAAAACAGAAAGAACCTCCTCAAAAAGCCAAGAGAAGACCTGACACAGATCACCACACCCGGACAGAACCAGAACACCCTCTAAGACTTCTGGGCCTCATTCATCAAACGTTCCTAGAGATATTCCTAAACCCCTTCCTATGAACGAAGTTCCGAATCTCCTCACAAACGGTCAAAATCCTGATGTATGAAAGGTGCGACGGCCTCTCGTACGTAGGTTCCTCTGCAATTATCCGTCCATCCGTTTTCAGCCGCTCATTCATTCATTCATTCATTTATGTAACGTATCAAAGGTCAAATGTTCACCATAAGAAGGACCAGACAGTAACCCAGCATGCAGAGGGAGGGTTATGAACTACTACAGGAACGATATTCATAACAGCCATCACCGCCTCAGGCACGCCCTTCAGCATTCATCCTGTCACCTGCAGCTCAGCTTCCTAACCCTAACCCTAACCCCGTAGAGGACATGGCAGAGACGTGTCCCGGGCCTGTCCCCCAGGCAGAGACCTACTTTAAAGGGACTTTCTAACAGTTTCAAACTTTTCTGTGACAAGGAGAGGTCAGAGGTCATGAAAAATCCTGTTTTTAAATTAGGGTTGGACCAAAGTCCCCGTTCCTACCGTGAGAGGACATGGACAGCCAGGGACACAGGAGGATGAGTATTCTGAGTTTGGGTTCTAGCAGGTAAATACAGAAACTGCTACCAGTTCACATAATGGACCTGTACTCCCACCTGTCGGGCCGAAAACCAGAACTTCCGGTCGTGATGTGCAGACAGGAACACGGCGTAAAGGGTTCCACATGCCATCGCTGCCAGGAGCCCAAAAAGTCCTCTCACCAGATGCTGCACAACACCTGTCCAGGAGCAGAGACACCTTAGACACCGTCAGGGATCCTGGGCTGAACCTAAGGCGTTTACCTGCAGCAGATCTCCGATTGGACGACTGGACTCGTTCTGACTTTTCCTCTTGACCATCTTCTCGGACTGCACTTCCGGACACGCCTCCTAGCTCGTCTGTCTCCTCAGCGGCCTCACCTGCTCAGGTGGACTAGAGTAAGACCCCAGGTGAGCTCCTGGTCGTGTCGGTGCTGCAGATAACTTACGTTTGTTACTTCCTGTAAACGTTTCTGGTTTCCGACATCTGAGCGGAGTCATGACGCGACGAAGGAGACGCAGACAGGAAGTGGACGTGCTCTAAAGGACCGCTGGACAGGTTTTGTTTTTTTATTAGTGAACATCAATCACATTACGTTGTAACGACAAGCAAAACTCAACAAAAACAAAAAGAACAACTCAGTAGATAAACCAAAACCTTACAACTAGACCATTAGAAATGTTCTAATCAGCAGAAACAACCGGATTTATACGATTAACAAGACACGATAAGAAATACATAAATAAATACAATATTAATAATAATAATAATAATAATATATAGTTAAAGACAGAGGACCTTAGTTCACAGCATCTTCAGCCTGTAGAGTCTTTACCTTTTTAAGAGATTTGCAAAATAGAATAAAATCGTTTTTTTAAAAAGGAAAGTTTGGCTTCACTTTCATAAAACGATGGGGTAATCGGAAAGTCGCAGGTTCGAGCCCCGCTCAGTCTGTCGCTGTCGTTGTGTCCTTGGGCAAGACGCTTAACCCACCTTGCCTGCTGGTGGTGGTCGGAGGGACCGGTGGCGCCAGTGCTCGGCAGCCTCGCCTCTGTCAGTGCGCCCCAGGGCAGCTGTGGCTACATCGTAGCTCATCCCCACCAGGGTGTGAATGTGTGTGTGAATGGATGAATGACTGATTGTGTTGTAAAGCGCCTTGGGGGGTTCCAGGACTCTAGTAGGCGCTATATCAAATACAGACCGTTCACCATTTACCATAAAACGGCATTTGTGAATAAAAAATTTCCCAAAAATGATCAAATTGTCAACAATGAATTGAATCTGATTATTTTTTCTATACACCCAGCTTGAATAGTATTATATGTGAATAAGAGGGTATTGTAACTGTTTCTGAATAAAAGCCAATAAATCTGACCAAGATGTATTTACCGACTTGCAATCATAGAAAAGGTGTTTCACTATTACATAGGACACATACATGATCTTGTATATTAAATCTGATATTTAAAAACTCTTTACATGGATATATATTATTAATCGTTTTAAAGTGAACTTCCTTCATTTTGGGGAGAAGAGGATAAGAAAGGAACTCTGTTCTTTGAGAGAACCGGAGACAGAACTTCCCTTCTGACAGGAACAGGGAATAACTTGTCTGACAAGACTGCTCTAAGGTAAGTTATTACATTTACGGTCTGTAAAACTCGAATCACCTAGAGAGAATACAGGAAGCTTGTTCCATGTTGAATACTCTGACTGACCATCTGGCCCACAGCTGGAGGAATAGCCTTATAACTCTGGAGTACTCCGTTACAGAACAGTCTAGATTACTTCATTCTGAACCGAGTATGCTCCAGAAACTTACCTTTACTGTGGACCGCTGGACAGGTGAGGACAGCCAGATAACCAGGAAGCTGCAGCTCAGGCAGGGACTTCTTTGTTTTGTGACCAAACCAAGTTACTCTAGCGCCACCTGCCGGTCCGGAGCGTGTAGGACACCAGAAGATCAGCAGCTTCCAGCATCGTAAGATCCCGGTAGGAGGCTTCCAGGTGCTTTGGTTCTGGTTCTTCACAGTCCAGTTGGTGTTTACCTGACACCTGCTGAAGAGAGGCATGGGAGATAATCTGATTAAACGTGATCATTTTCTGTTGGATTCTGCAGATGAGCTTCGGTGTTGTCCAGATCACACTCAGCTCTTAAAAGGTCACCTGGACCCTTTATAAAGAGCTACTGCTCTCTCCAGGCTCCAGCTGGCCCAGAATGCTGCAGAGAGGTTCATCTCAGGTGTAAAACAAGGAGAGTGTCTCACCTGTCCTGACTGAACTGCAGTGGCCTCCAGTCAGGAGCCGTGTTGAAGGTACTTATGCTTGCTTTCCAACCACTGGCAGAGGCAGCTCCCCCATCTCTCATGGAGAAGTATGCCCCAGCGGTCTCCTCACCACAGTAAGACGTGTTTAGAAACTGAATTTTTATTCCCGGGTTAGGGTTAGGTTGGGGTTACACCCTAACCCATCAGACTGCATTGCCTCAAACATCTGATGATAATGGGGACAGACATCACATGGTCCACGTACTCCACTGCTCGTGAAACAGGCCCAACAGAGACTTTTCTGAGAACGTTAGGGAAATGCGGGCTGGCTGCAGAAGCGTGTTCTAGTTGCAGACCAATCCCGCATCTCCCCTTCTGGGCAAACATTTAGGAGCTGGTTACTTTTAACTGAGCAGGTTTTTGAGCCACTTCCGTCTGGGTTCTTCAGAGGGACCAGGACAGAGGCTGCTCCTGGATTTTAAATAATGTGTTTTTAGCAACAGATGCTGTCATCTTTATTTCTATAGCCCTTTCCATCCACCAGGAGATGAACCACAGAGCTGTACACACGAAAAAGACTGAATTAAAACAACACAGAAAGCGAGGGCCAGCAACCATGAACGTAAAAGCAGTGGTGGTTGTTTTACTGCTGGATCTACGGCTGCGTCTGACAGATCGCAGGTTCTGTCGGACAACATTGGGTTGTGCTAACTATCATCTCCTCTGTGGATCTCATCTCACAAGTAGATCATTCCATCTGAGCATGTGGGCTTGTTTATCCGCTGACACGGGGTGCCACAGGGCTCTGTTCTAGGTCCTGTTGCTGTCCACTTAGACGTGTTAGGTGGTGCCCATCGGTCAATGAAAGAAAACCCACGATGGTCCCAGAAAAAACCTGAATCTGACAAAAGTGACGTTGCTTTCGACCATGCTTCTACTGAAGTCTTTAAAAACAACCAACAGGCCTGCAAACATGATGGTTCTCATCATTCCTGTTTGTGGAACCTTCCTAGAACATCCTACATTTAGCCAAAGATCCGAATAGGATCAAAGGTTACATCCGTTCATTGTATCGGGTTGTGAACCGCAGGCTGTCAGCGCATCCAATCATATTTCGTCTTACTGCTCGTTTCCAGCCAACAGGAAGCAGCCTTTTACCTCTGTAGCGTGTTGACGTCACCGCATCCATCAGCGCGTGGGCCATGTTTGAAGTTGTCGCTGTTGCGTGTCTTCTGGCGCGTGGATCGGGTCAGGATGAGCAGCGTGTGTAGAGAGGTCATCACGCTGCAGCTCGGACATTACTCTAACTTTGTGGGGACCCACTGGTGGAATCTACAGGTGAGGGGCACGCGAGGCTAACATGTTAGCTTCCGCTTCGACGTAAACACAGCTGGTTTAACGTGAAGCATCACTAAGGGAGGCTCATTAAGAACCAGCAGTGTCTGGACTGGTCCTGTCCTCCAGAGGACACCTTCTACAAACATTAGAGCCAGAACTACAATCAGATCAACACAACAGGTCTGCAGCAGGACCCTCATGGGACACCGTCCTCCAGGAGGGACACCTGGCCTGAGCCCTATCTTGGTGGACGGTGTCCATGAGGGTTCAAACAGAACCGCTGACATCCTGTGTTCTTTCCTTCAAGTCCCAGCAGCAACCTCCTCAGTAACCTTTGGTGTTTATCAGGATGCGGCGTTGTCTTACGAGCTCGAGTCGCCACCAGGTGAGATCCAGAGTGATGTGGTCTTTCGCGAAGGACAGACTCTGGGTGGACATGTCACCTACACCCCTCGCCTTATCGCCATGGATCTTAAAGGTACCGATGTCTTCTTTTTCTGTTTGATGGCACCTGATCAGCTGGAGGCTGAAGTGGTCCTCTCTGCACAGGAAGCCTTCGGACGCTACGGCAGGAAGGACGTCTCTATGATGGTGAAGACACCTCTGCTGTCACCTGGTAAACGGACCTTCTCCACACGGCTGCGTGCCTATTGGACCAGAGAACATCTGGCAGTTTGGTGTTAAAGTAGATTTTATTTTCAGGGAGGGGGGGTTCATGATGCACAAAGAAAGTCCTCCAAAAAAGAACTCGTTCCTGGAAGACTTGGACCGTCTGGATGTGAGTGTTAGACAGGATGAACCAGATGTAAATGAGCGGTTCATCACCATGGTAACCGTTTGTCTCCTCAGGAGGAGATCCTGGCAGAGGTGGACTTTTCCTCCAACTCACAGTTGCAGCACTCGGGTAAGAAAACACCTTCTGCTCCTCTACCTGAGGCGAGTCACCAACCAGCTTCAGGAGCCGTGAGCGTGGAGACGGTCAACAGCCGTCTGACTCGGGTCCAGAAGAGCTACAGGTTGGAGGGCAGCGTGAAGGTGTGGTCAGACTTCCTGAGGATCCACCTGCACCCTCGCACCATCTCAGTCATCCAGCAGTACAACCATGATGGGTAAACTGGGTCAGCGAGACTAGGATGAGGTCTAGCTAACACACACCTGCAGTGACGTGCTTACTCGTGTTTGCAGCGAGGCTCACCGTTTGGAAGCTTTTGGTCAGGGCGAGTCTCTCCTGAAGGGGGCGCTGCTGGAGGAGCTGGAGGACAAACTGCACTTTTTTGTGGAGGAGTGTGATTACCTTCAGGTACCGTCGGCCCGCCTCCCACCACCCTCTTCCTGTTCGAGCCTCTCACCTCTGGTTTCGCTCTCAGGGTTTCCAGCTGCTCTGTGATATGGCTGACGGCTTTGCGGGCCTCGGGTCAAAGGTCACGGAGTTGCTGCAGGACTCCTATGGGGGTAGAGGTGTTCTCACCTGGGGGGTGTGTCCTGTCAGCCGCCCTGATTCCAGCCCACTGAAGAACCTGTACCACCTGCTGAACTGCACTCTGGGGGTGGTCCACATGGCTGCTCACAGCTCACTGCTGTGCCCTTTGACCCTGCGGGGGGGGCTGGGCCGGCAGCCCCGCCCCCCACCTGAGTTCCCACACCTCTCCTATGATGTGAGTTTGGCTGTACATTTGCTGTTTGGGACCAGAACTTTGGTGTTGACTGGGCCCGTTTCACTGTCCTGCAGCCCTCTCTGTGGTACCACTCCAGCGCCGTCCTGGCTCTAGCCCTGGACGCCCTGACCGTGCCGTACAGGCTGAGGAACAACAGCGTCCCCTTGTGGCAGATGGCGGACTCGCTGGCCTCCGGCGGGAGGACGGTACGTCTCAGGTTGAGGTCCGCTCAGGTTGAGGTCCCAGCTTCCTAAACACCATTCATGTTTCAGGTTGCGGCTGCTTATGGTGCCGTCCCATTTCCCATGATGCACGGCAGTGGACTGCCCGATGCCCTGAGCGCCTGTGCTGAAGCATTGCCATGGAAACCTCTGTCAGCTTGCCCTGAAGCAGGCGGCGGTCGCCGCTATGGACAGTGGGTTACGCTGAGAGGCTTGGAGAGCCAGGGACTCGGCAGGTGAGACAGCAGGTGTTCTTCACCGCTGACAGGAAACTGAAATAATAAATAATATTCATGTTAGCAGCTGTTTGCCTGCTGGGATCGAACCACCGACCCCTCTGCACCGCCTGTGCTGCGGCGAGGATGTCCTGACAGCCTACATGTCGTCTTTCTACCCGTCGTCTCCTCTGTGAGTGTCTCTCACCTGTTACCGTTTGACGTCTGGACCTGTGTTTACCTGGCCTGTCCCTCTGCAGGGCGCTGCAGCTGGTGGCCACTCCCAGTAAAGTGACTCCGCCCTTTCCTCAGATCTTCAGCTCGTCGCTCAGCTCTCAGGGCTTCCTGCAGAGTGAAGCGCCTCCCCCTGGCGGTGAGTGTTTCCATCTGTTCCCATGGTAACCTACTCTACAAACCGAGAGCCAACCCTTCTCTGCCCCTCCAGTGCCGACCGTCTCCGTCCCCGTCATGGCGTCACTGCAGTCAGGACCCGCCCTCGAGCCCTGGCTCGCCGAGCTGCATCGAGCCGCCAGCGCCATCGACGTCCGCCGCTTGGCGCCCAGCTTCCTGTCCCAGGGGCCTGAGATGATTGATTACCAGGAAGCCTTGGAGCAGCTGCATCTCCTGGCACGGCGTTACCGTGACGACAGCAGCGGTGTGATGCGCTCTTCTTCTGACGAAGAGGAGGATGACTGAAGGTGGTATGCTGGATCGTGAAGGACCAGTCGTCAACCAGAACCAGAACCGGGTTCTGGGTCAGAGTGGAGGCTGAACTAAAGACACTTGTTGGTATATATTTATAAAGGCTTGAGTCGGACACAGGTGGGACAACCGCATGGCCACACTCTTCCTGATTTGTTAATAAAACAAACAGTTCTGTTTCCGTGACGACTAAATGGTTTATTCTGGGCTAAAGTTGAGTGAGATGTCTGCAGAAGAATCATCGCCATGGAAACAAACGAGACAAGACACTTTAATCTGAAAGGATTCACAAAGGCAAGCTGATTTAAAAACAGGGAGGCGTGTCTTCACCTAAACCAAAGAAATACGCTGAAAACTACCAAGCTTATCAAAGGGGGGGGGTCTGAACTAGGACCGGGAACGAGAGCGGGACCGGGATCGAGACTCGGATCGGGAGGCTGATCTGGAACGAGAGCCGGCTTTAGCAGGGGAGGCAGATCGAGACTTGGACTTGGACCTGGACCTGGCTCTGGACTCCTCTGGGGAGCGGGAGCGGGAGCGGGAGCCCCTCCCAGGCTCCTCAGCCTCGTTGTCACTCTTCTGCTGCTCGGGATCCTTTGAGCCAGATTTTTTAGAAGGATCTGGAGAGCCGGAGCGGGAACCGGATCTTGACCTGGAGTCCTCTTTATCGGACTTGGCTTCCTTCCGGCTCTTTTTGCTCTTGGGGCTGCGGCTCCTACTGTGCTCGTCATCCTGGGCGCCGTTGCTGCGCTCCTCCTCCTCCTTGTTCTTCTTCTTCTTGTCCTTCTTGCTGTGAGAGCGGCTGCGGGACCGAGAGCCGGCTCTGGAGACGGGAACCACAGACATCATGTTACAGAGTGAGTGTGTGTGTGTGTGTGTGTGTGTGTGTGTGTGTGTGTGTGTGTGTGTGTGTGTGATACACAGCAACACCATGCCTATTTATAGGGAGCCTAAAGGCGCTTACACATTAGCGTCGGCACGGTCAGCGTTTGGTGGCGTGAGCTCGGTCTCTAACGGGCGGTGTAGCGTTCACTTGTAAATCTGAGGGACTTTTCAGCAATCCCCGAGCCTGTGGGCGGAGTTTAATACGCACGAGAAGGTCCGCGCTGTCCTCCATTATAAGGTAAACAAATGGGCCATTCCCATCGGTACCGGGTCGGCCCGGGCCGGGTAGCGTAGGTTGTTACATATCTGGGTGGCCTGGTATTGTTCCGGGCCAACCAAGGCTCATTCTCAGCCCTCTTCTGGAGGGGGTCTGCTTCAGGCCGACCAGGGCCAACACACCCACTGCTGACAGCAACTCCACACCTTCCATTAGAGCAAGCCTCTGATTGGTGGCTAGAACCAGCCCACATGGGCTTAAGGCAAGGATGTGTGGAATCAACCGGGCCAGGCTGGGGCCGACCCGGTACTGATGGGAATGGCCCAAAAGGCGCACACACAGAAGTTTACATGAACGACTCGTGCATGCGGGAACCCCCCGCTGGCTGGTTCACTGGAGGCGGTAGGCGTAATTTCAGCCGGCCGATCAGTCCGTGGTGTCGCCTCGGACCCAGTCTGGTCGCTGGGGAGGAGGTGTGAGAAAGAGTCGCCTCGGAACCGAAAACGCTTATTTGACCCATGTGTAAAACCAAATTCTGGTCCCGAACCGACGCTAGTGTGTGAGCGCCATAAGTCTCCTCCCTTTGGGGTCCCTGAACGGGGTTAGAGCCGTTTTCTAGCCCGCTCTGCCTCACGCCCTGGGTCACACGCATGTTGTACTGCAGGTTCAATGAAAAGTAACGTGTGTTTGGGCTGAGATTTATCAGCTAGTCAAAGTTCATAATTAGCATGGCTACACACCAGACATCGGTACGTTGCATATGTGACATCACCACATAGGCTCCTCCCCCCTAGCGTAGCTGCTACTCGCCACATGACCAGATTCATGGTGGTTCTTTCCTCCTGTGGGAAGTTTGCTGAACTTCCAGCCTTTTCTCTCGGTTTTCTCCGTGTCTGGGTCGATGACGTCACTCTGGTGAAGCGTTTGTAGTCCTGGACTTATTTTCACACAACACCCCCCCCTAATTTCATGGACATCATGTGTGAAATCCACGGCACAAAACGAGCGGGATTAGAAAACCGCGTTAGCCCCGTTGACTTGCATTCATTTTTTCCGTTCCCCCGGGGACCCGTGGTGCGGTAGTAGATGGGCGTGGCTTAGGCTCCTCATGTTTGATCCTACACACACTCTCATGATGAGGGGGGGTCTGATGTCATTTTAAGGTCTGGAAAATCAGCAGGAAGCTGAACAGGTGTGGCGCAGCTGCTCACCTGGACCGGGATCGGGACCGACTGCTGCTCTCGCTGCGACTGCGGCTCTTATGAGACCTGCGGCTCCTGGAGCGTGACCTGCATGACACACACACACACCAGGGGTCACGTTTCCTGAAGAGCCGAAGCTCAAACACGCCATCATGGCCACTCGTGTCTCTAACCTGGAGCGACTGCGGGAATACGAGCGTTGGCGCCTGGCCCCGGGGCGGTCCTCAACGAGTCGGATCTTTCTCCCGTTCACCTCAGTGCCGTCGAGCTTCTCCAGAGCCCTCTTCATGTCCGAGTACTGCCTGAACTCGATCACGCCCTCGTTCCTGCGACCCTTGTGGGTGTCGGCGTATGTCACCTCACCTGCCTGCCTCATGTAGTCCTGCAGAGACACAAAAGCCAGGCGGAGCCATGACATCATATCCTGGTGATGATGAACCAATAGTAAACAGTTTTTCCTGGCTCTAAGTGAGACGGTACCATCCTGACCGTGCACCAGCACATGCACACTCTGCATTCAGCTGCCTCACGTTTTAACGGCTAAATATTTTTGTCGTTCAGTGTTCTAATCTAAGCATCTGCTGGTTTGAATATGACATTTGACAACGTTTCAGGTGAAAAAACCAGTTTACTGCTAAAAAATATGAAATAAAACTAAATTATCAGGCATTTGTGTTGGAAATGGTACTGACATCTAACAGTAATGGTGGCATGGCTAACATGTACGGGTTGGCAATAATCCAGTTTACATTATGTTCAAAGATAGAAGCGTTTGTGAATTAAATACTACAACGGCTTGCCGTACTTGCTGCTCCTGTGTGTGGAGCAGACTTGTAGCAGTCATGTGACTCGTATCTGCAGCGGTTCTGATCCGTAGCGCTGCAGGATGCAGAATAAGGGTAGGGTTTAGTCTTTCTTAGTTTTACCATCATATATTTTTCTGTGTGCCACTTGATCGTGAGACTGCTTCCTGTTAGCTTTAGCATTAGCCCACATCAGAATCAGAATAGGGTTATTGCCATCGTCAGTGAACAAACAATTCACAAACTAGGAACTTGCTTCGGTAAAGATGTTGCACCAGTGCTACGTTTAAAAATAGACACCACTGTACCAACTAGCGAGAAAAGCTATTTTTGTTCTTTTTCTGCAGCGGTTTTACTGCTTTTCGGTGCACCGCTGCTGATACAGCGCCCCGGTAGTGGCGCAACGCTGCAACTGCAGTCACAATAACATCCATATAGCTGGGGGCAGAGTGAAGTCAGGCTGGGGTGGCACTAAATTAGCTGGAGGCGGCCGCCACGCAAATTTGAATGCAGGAAAAACCCTGGTGAAGCGGCGTAGAACATCAGAATAATGTGTGTGTGTGTGTGTGTGTGGGGGGGGGGGTCGTCATACCTTCAGGTCCTGCCAGCTGCAGCGACTGGAGAGATTCTCAACAATGAGGCGGTAATCCGTCCTTACAGGTGGACCGTACCTGTCCCTTCCTCCCCAGCGCCCATATCCACCTTTCAAGGTAACAGACAGACAAATGAGAACCTGAAGGAAGACGCTGCTGCCATCATTGTAAAGTCCAGCCTCTAAACTACAATAAAATATCAATCAAAAAGGAAACAAAGGCAAAAGAAAACAGGAGAAAAGATTTACAGAAACAGTTAAGACCCTAAAATGCTGTCTGTAAACAAATGAGCCTGTTTACTAAGAAGGTTAACTTAACTTGGTCAACTATAGACAGAGGCTAAGCTAATGCTAACTAGCAACATTTGACTGTTACAAAAGGTGTTGTTTTTCAGGCACCTATGAGAGCTGAACCCACATCTGCTCCTAACCCCATGGCATCCTCACCACCTGGCCTGGGCCTTCATTCACAATGGCTCCCCTTTATGGTCTGCCCAGGGGCCCAGAATGGTCAAACCACACTCTTGGAAAGGGGGACACCATGGCCAGCAATAGGGGCAGGCAGTCAGCAAAGGACTCTTTCAATTAAAACATTGAGGTTCTTTGTTAAATCTTTAACTTTTAATTGACAATCAAATCAAAATGGAATAAAACAGCAATAATAACATGATGTTTTACAAATTACTGACAGTATTTAAATTAGCAGTCATGTTTCTGATTCAGCTAATGAAATATACAAAACATTTCCCCAAATGTAACATGAACGTTTGCGTTGTTGGTGGTCCTGACGGACACATTCATCCAGGACTCATGCTGTCACTAAGGGAACCTCCGAGAGCCTGGAGGGGCACTCTACTGCAGGGCTCAGTGTAGCGGCGGCCTACTTTCTCAATGATGCACCTGAAAAACATCTCAGGTGTCTTCAGTGTAACCAGCCGTTCAAAAACGACTAACCCTAAAAGCCAGCCAGACAGCCTGAGGCTCCTCCCCCTTCGGGCGGCTCAAGGGTCCCTGAGCAGGGCTAGAAAGGTTATTTGTTGATCCGCTTTGTCTTAAGCTTTCCCTTTTTTGGCCGTCTTAGCAAATCTCTCGTCATGAACAGCATCGTGACAAAGAAAAAGTAAATGTGAGGCTGATTTGCATATCTGTGGACGTCTAGTGTGACTGGCTCTGGGACCAAAGTCTACAAGCACTGCTTGAAAACCTACGACTGTCTGCAATCGACCAATGAACGTACAGCTTTGTGACGCTGCAGCAGCAGGACTCCACCTCTCTTGAGTTTTGTTTCAACTTATGTTTTAATACAGATTATAAACTACGCAATGGATTACCAATGGCCCGTATGGATCTCGCTCTACGGCTCGGCACGCTCGTGGTCCGTGCATCGGTCATGTGGAGGGCCGAGGCGCCACCTGTTCACTCTGAAAAGCACAGCGGTGGTCATGACTAGCGGAGGAGTAAACATGCGGCGTAACGAAAATGCGTGTGCCTCCAGTTTGACGGCACAACGCCGTTCCCACGCACCTCCCATCGCTGTGAAAGGAGGGAGGCACGAGCACTAAGGAGATGGGAGCTGTAAATATTGGAGCCAAGCCTGTAAAAGAGGAGTAAAGAAAGAATACTGCACTTCAGAAAGGTGAAGAAATGGGCGAAAGCAGGAAACTCACAGAGCAAGTGGACTATGACAAGCCGTTTTAATATTTAATCAGCAGTTGGACCCTTCCGTAATACATGTTTAAATATGGCAATTATTAAACCCTAGTACTAACTGTGCTGGTCAAAAACATAAATGAAGAAGTTATAATTAAGGATAAGCATAATAAGTGCACTAGTAGGATATTTCTCAGAACCCCGGTAGTCTTTAACACTTATTAGGCAGATAGCACGTCTATAATTCTATTGTTCCTAGTAGACATTAACATTCCAGATATCCATGTTCATTCTAGACAGTTCAGTTAATCACCCTTTGATGTTAGATATTCATCCATCCATCATCATCCGCTTATCCGAGGTCGGGCCGCAAGAGCAGCAGCATAAACAGGGAGGCCCAGACTTTCCTCTCCTCAGCTACTTGGGCCAGCTTTTCCGGGGGAATCCCAAGGCATTCCCTGGCCAGCTGAGAGACATAGTCCCTCCAACGTGTCCTGGGTCTACTTTAGGCATTCTCCCAGTTGGACGTGCCCAGAAAACCTCACCAGGGAGGCATCCTGACCAGATGCCTGAGTCACCTCAACTGGCTCTTCTCGACGTGGAGCCAGTTGAGGTGACTGCGGGTCTACTCTGAGCCCCTCCCTGATGACCGAGCTTCTCACCCTATCTCTAAGGGAGAGGCCAGCCACCCTGCGGAGAAAACTCATTTTGGCCGCTTGCATCTGCGATCTCATTCTTTCGGTCACTACCTGTGACCACAGGTGGGCATACTAGTTGCCCCCCATCTTGGTGCCTGTACGTTGGGGTTTACCCCAGTGAATGAGAGGGTAGCCTCCCTCTGCCTACGTGTGGGGGACGGGTTCTTACTGGTCTGTGCTTGTGCACCAAACTACACTTCAGACTACCCACCTTTTTTGGAGAACTTCCAAGCGGAACGCGGCTCGGGTGGTGGCCAAGGCAAAAACCCGGGCATCGGAGGAGTTCGGTGAGACCACGGAGAAAGACTTCTGTACGGCTTCGAGGAGATTCTGGTCCACCATCCGGCGCTTCGGGGGGGGGGGGGCGACAGCAGTGCGCTACCAACACATTCTATAATGGGGACGGTGTGCTGCTGACCTCTACTCAGGACGTTGTGGATCGGTGGGCAGACTTCGAAGACCTCTTCAATCCCACCGACACGTCTTCCAGTGAGGAAGCAGTCTGGGGACTTTGGGTTGGCCTCTCAAATCTCTGGTGCTGAGGTCACTGAGGTGGTTAAAAAGCTCCTCTGTGGCAAGGCTCGGGGGTGGATGAAATCCACCCACAGTTGCTTAAGGCTCTGGATGTTGTGGAGCTGTGTTGGCTGACGCGGCTCTGCAATATTGCGTGGGCATCGGGGGCAGTCCCACTGGACTGGCAGACCGGGGTGGTGGTCCCCTTATTTAAAAAGGGGGACCGCAGGGTGTGTTCCAACTACAGGGGGATCACACTCCTGAGCCTTCCTGGTAAGGTCTATTCAGGGTTCTGGAGAGGAGGGTCCGTCGGATTGTTGAACCTCAGATTCAGGAGGAGCAATGTGGTTCTGGTCCTGGCCGTGGAACACTGGACCAGCTCTATACCCTTAGGGGGATCCTGGAGGGTGCGTGGGAATTTGCCCAACCAGTCTACATGTGTTTTGTGGATTTGGAGAAGACGTTTGACCGCGTCCCTCGGGGGGCCCTGTGGGGGGTACTCCGGGAGTATTTGGTACCAGGCCCTCCAATACGGGCTGTTAGGTCCCTGTATGACCGGTGTCGGAGCTTGGTCCGCATTGCCGGCAGTAAGTCAGGCTCGCTCCCAGTGAGAGTTGGACTCGGCCAAGGCTGCCCTTTGTCACCGATTCTGTTCATTACCTTTATGGACAGGATTTCTAGGTGCAGCCAAGGTGTGGAGGGCATCCGTTTTGGAGGCCTGAGGATCAGGTCTCTGCTTTTTGCAGATGATGTGGTCCTGTTGGCTTCATCAGAACGTGATCTTCAGCTTTCACTGGAGCAGTTCGCAGCCGAGTGTGAAGCAGCTGGGATGAGAATCAGCTCCTCTAAATCTGAGACCACGGTCTTGACTCTTGTCATCTAACAACTTTGAAATCTCTATCTGGGCTGCTCCCAGCTGTTCCTGGGTTTCTGTTAGCTGGTCCCGGACTTCCATCAGCTTCTCGTCAGAGTCAGAACCACCTGCTTCATCTTTTAACGGTAGTTCAGAAAGGGCATGCATTTTAACTTGTGTGTCCATATGAGCATTCACTTCTCTGTCCCACATTTGAACCAACAGGACCGCAAACTCCACCAGGTGCTCTGTGCAGGCAGCGGATTTAAGAGGTTTACCTGTTCTGGGCAGATTTGCAATGTTAGTTTGTAGCAACTTCATCAGCTCATTAGCTTGGCAGTTCTGCAAACCTTCAGCATAACGGTGATTAGTCAAGCTTTCCTGGCCCACACAAGATTCAACTGCGTCAATAATTTGTCTTCCCGGTGAGGGAAGGGCTCATTTCTCTTCGTCGGACATGCTTTAAAATCAAAATTGACTTTTCACCAAAATGAATGTAATGAACAGAAAAGTCTGCCAGATGGCGGCAGAGCGCCAATGGTGGGTACGGGCGGGGTGCTGACGTCACCCGTGTGTCCGCCCGGTGCTCTCAAAATGGCGGTGAGTCGATGACATCACCGGGAAGTTTTAAATACAAAAGTGAATAAAAACACTGCTTAAACTACTGGAACAAATTTGGCGTTTTACCCATAGGCGTAGCGGATTTAGAGACGCAGAAACGCTGCGTCAAACGGCTTGACAGGTCGTCGGAACGCGTATACCGACTGTCTAACTGGTTCCACTAGTTTGCACTGGTTTTGCTAAGCTAGCGGGGCCCATCGCTAACGGGCTCTGAATGTCCAGTTCTATTAGAATTGCACCAGTCCGAGTAACTCAAACGTTCGTGTGCGTTCTTGTTTATATTTCGGACTGTAGCGTATGCAATTCGTGTTTGCAACATCGCTCTTCCGTGTTAAAAGCTTGACTATTAGTGGCTAGTGCTAATAAGCTCAAACGGGCTGATAACCGGTGATCAAAACGGCTATCGAGGGAAGCGGACTTCCGGTGGGGATATTTCTATATCTCCGTTACACAATAAATTGTACAAAGAGCCACGAACACTCGAAAAAGGACATGAAATTATACTGTATGCACCTTAAAGAAAGCAGGAAATCCTTCAGATATCAGTGCTATGAACTCAAAATGGCTGCTAGTATGCCACGTCAGCCTTAGGATGATTTGAGATGAAACAGCGCCTCCTGTGGAGGATGACTGATGTCAACCCCCATTTGCTTTAAATCAGTGGTTCCCAAACTTATTTAGCCGCGCACCCCCCAGCCCCCACATCAGGGCATGGATATATATATATATATATATATATATATATCAGACGTCAAGCTAAGCAGACAGGGTAAAAAAAATATTATCGACCTTTTTTCCCATCACTTTCATTTTTTAAATAGTAATACATAAACATTGGATACCATTACAATTTCCTTTGATTTAATTTTACATAAATATTTGGAGTACCCAGGTAGCACATAAACAATGCAATTTAACGGTTTTCTTAAAGCAGGAACGTTTAACCTGTGCGGCCAGAGCGCTCTCCTTCCTTCTGCTCTGGTAAACCTGAGCTGGTCACCTACTTGTGCGTAATCACATGTCTATAGGGGACAAGATGGAAAAGATATTTTGCCTCAGACCGACTTATTGCTGTTTTATGGTGTGGCTGAATCTGCGATCCGCTGCCACGCAGACTGGAATAGCAAGTGCTGCAGTAACAGGCGTTGTTGTAAGGTTCGGAGTCACTGGCTGGAGCGGACCCGACTTTAGTACGTCATCCCAAAATAGAAGCTAATATCTTCATTTGACCTGGAATGAAAAATGTTATAAAACCTCTTAAAAGTTTTTATCACGGAGGCAGCGCTCATTTCTGTCTTCAGTCTGACGGCGCGCCGGAGTTTGAGCAGCGTGTGTGCTTATTGAATCTGTGTGTGTGTGTGTGTGTGTGTGCGCGCGCTGCACAGCTCCATGACCCGCTCCAGACTAGTCACCGCGTCTCGTTATCGGCGCTATTTAAACCAATGTTGTAAAATTACCTCTGCCCAGCCCAGATGTGCTCACTTGTGCACCGTGAGCCGTGGCTCCGCTGGAACATCCACAATGTTCTGTGTGAGAGGTTTACAATAATGACGGCTCACTTGACCGCGGTGTTTACAACGTCAGAACACCTGCATGAGACAGGTGTTAATTACAATCTGCCAGAATGACTCGCCACCTTCAGATTCCTCCAACACCGTTAAAAATGATCAAATACGGAACATGTCGGCGTGCGCAGGCCAGAGTGCTGAAGCTCGGCGCATTGTTATTATGAAGCTAGGGCACATGCGGAGGACACACGTGCAAAAATATACTTGTTTTCAATTGCATTTATTGGGCCCACTTACTTTTTCTTTGGCCCACCCACAAATGAGTTTCTGGCTACGCTAATGGTGACATCTGACAGACTTCTCTGAGCTCCGCAGCATTACACTTTTCACCTCGCGCACCCCCTAGCGGCAGCTCGCGCACCCCACACTTTGGGAATCCCTGCTTTAAATGAAGATGCTGCTCTCTAGTGGTGGATTACGAGATTGCCTCGTTTTCAACCAGAAACATCAAACTTATTGTTGTTTTAAAGAGTGTTAACTGTTTAAATACTGTATGTCTCAGACTTATCACAAAGTGTCAAAAATGTGCAAATATCGGGCAACGGCTCACCATTATGTAATTATGTAAGTCTGGACCTCTCGCCTTGGGCTGCTGCCCCGCGACCCGCCTCTGGATACGCGGATGAAAATGGATGGATAAAGCTGCACATATTAGAACTAAACTCTCAACAGAACACATTTCTAACCTGCAATATCAATTGCAAACATGAACATTAAACATCAGTGCTTGTGCTCCTTGTCAGCAGTGATTAAACGTTTCTGCACATCAGAGGTTGTTTGCCAGGAACACCAGTGTGTTCACAGTCTCAGGCTTCACTCAGATCTGTGACATGTTCCTATGCTGCCACTGGTGCTGAATGCTCTTTCTGAGGGGGCACACGTGGCAGGAAAACAAAGGTATCTCTTCAATAGGCTTGCCACCCTGGGAAAATGGGCCTGGAGTGCAGCACTCCTCCGTGAGGGGGTGGGGGGATGGGGGGTTGCACATGTTCCACTGCTGTTTCGCACCAGTATCAGCTGATGGAGGGCTCTAGTTTCGTTGCACCGCTTGTGTCAGCGGACACGGTAGAGTCGGGGAGGGGGGTGGGGCATGACGCTTAGCCTGGCGGGCGGGGGGAAACCCTGATATCGTTCTGCTCCACATCCGACTCCTTCAAGGCAAACCACGTCCAAATGACCGATGTTGCACCGGTCTTCTTTACGAGAACCTCCTCCTCCACAGGCTCCATGCTTTCAGCCTCAACAGACGCCACTTGATGATGATGTCATCAACATGCGCTATCGCGATAGGTCAATATAGTCAAACTCTCTACCGTTGGCCAAATTAATATCATTTCTACCGTATACCGCCCACCCCTACTTTCAATTACCAACTACTGGGTATTACAGTGAAATGTATTTGTCTACTTACCTTGTAGGATTGTCATCTAGTCTTCTGGTGCTGAGCTGCAACTGGCAACAGCCGAAAAACTCGCAGAACAGGAGTGAGAAGTCACCTATTGTTTGTAAAAATGGTCTGCCGTACCTTCATTTGACCACAGGATGTCACTCTGACTTCACTCTTGCATAACGCACTTATATTTTGGCCTATTTGGGCAGTGATTAAAAAAGATCACCTGTAAACCTGATGTTTAATGTGACACTGTAGAAACTGGATGCGTATAAAAATGTTAGTCTAGAGCCGTGCACTGCTTCCCCCCAGGTCTGAGAGGTTCCCACTGAATCAAACTAATCTTAATTTCACGTGTTCATCAGCCACCAAGAACAAGCTTACATTGTTTTTAATGAGATCAATGACATTCATGTAAAGTGAACAAATGCATGCTGGATACTCACTCCGCCCACCACTATAGCCTCCATCACGACGAGGTCCCTTGGTGTGCTCCACAATCACCCTCTCCCCACACAGCTCTTTGCCATTCAGGTCATAAACAGCATCATCAGCATCACGTGGGTCATCAAATTCAACAAACCCGTACCTGCAGAGAACAAAGCAAACCGGCTCAGACTAGTCTGGAAACACTAAAATACATGATTCACAAGTTTCTCTGATCCAACACACCTGGTTTAACCTGCAGGTGAGGAACAGGCCTCAGTAGAGTTTGATGAACTGTTGAACAGGTGATTCAACCATTTAGGGCTGAAACGATTCCTCGAGTATTTCGAATAATTCGAGTACAAAAAATCCTCGAGTCAAATTCTCTGCCTTGAGGCTTCGTTTAATTCATGTTTAATTAATTCATGGCTTTGCAATCGCCCGGGGTCATGTTTCACCCGGACCAAAATAAGTGACGCACACACACACTGCACTGAATGCACACACGAGTAGCGAATGTAACTTAACTTTCTCTTAAGCCATGGCGGACAACGTGGACCGCGGTGGAGTGCGAAAAAGAGATAAAATGTCAAAGGTGTGGGAGCATTGTTCACGTCGTGAGGCGTAAAACGTAGTCCAGTGTAAACACTGTAAAATGGATCTAGCCCACCACATCCTCCACGCTGCAGCACCTGACCAGGAAACATCCACCTGTAAATGTCTCTTCTGCAAGCGGACTCGGAGCCTCTACAAGATAATGCATTTTAGCCTGTATTTCTATATATCCTGCAGACGCGGTGCGACTTTTTTGTTTGTAGCGCTCAGTTTCAGCTCACACCGTACGTCTGGTAGCAACACGTCGGACTTAAAATGTGCTAAAAAATAGCCGTTTTTACAACACGTCGGACTTTTTACTGTGTTGTTATTGATGTCCGTTGTCCCTCGGGGCCGCTGCAGGAGGACACGGGTATTTATGGGAGGAAAACAAAAGAAAGTAAATAAATGTTGTGTGATCAGTGTAATTTGACATAACCACGGCAAACAGGCTTTCGACAATCCTTGTTAGTGTTAGACAAAAAAGTGTAGAAATTAAAACGGACGTGTGTTAATAGGGAAACAGCTGGCGAGCATGCGCCGTGAGCGGTTCTGGTGCTGTTTGGGCCGCAGCCGCTCGCATTTGTTTACTGTGAAGTAAAGTTGAAGTGCTGAAGTTTTGAAAACTCATTTTGAATAAAACGAAGAATAACTGGCAATTGTTCATTTGAAGAGGCCTTTCATATTTTATAACATGCTATTCGATATAATGGTTTACAAACGCAAAAGGGTAATTTATTAGAGTACTCGATTAATCGATAAAAGATTTGATAAGAGTACTCGATTACAAAAATATTCGATAGCTGCAGCCCTACAACCATTGACCCAGGTGTGCTGGAGCAGGAAACATGGAACCATGCTGGATAGCGGCCCTCTAGGACCAGGAAGGGGAGAGGATGATATTTTCATGGGTCTTTGTCAGATGATGTGTTGGGTGCTGTAGAGCGTTGCATGATGGGATGGCTAAGTGTATAAACAACAGTGTCGGTGGTCGTTTTGTGTGCTGTGAGCTTATAAATCTGCAGAAAATGGTACACCCGTTTTGTGCGAAGGGTTGCCATGTCAGGTCACACGATTACAATAACAAGGAGAACATGGGGACGTCAAATGGTCTGGGTCGCAGTAGTCTGAAGGAAGAACATAACTTTTGAAACAGCATCTTCCTAAATGTGTGTTTGCTCACAGCATTTTCATGAAGGCAACCAAAACAGCTGTTCTGTGTCTTCCCACAAGCCTCAGCCAAACGCGGAGGGCAGATGAATGCAGAGGTGGGTAGTAATTTACTGAGTAAAGCCTTTCCTCGTCCGACATTTTGACACCAACATGCCTATTTTTGAACGGGGGGGGGGGGGGGATGGAAGGAAGATATTTTAGGTGTTGTGTGAAAATAAGTCCAGGACTACAAGCGCTTCACCAGAGTGACGTCATCGAACCAGACATGGCGAAAACCGAGAGAAAAGGCTGGAAGTTCAGCAAACTTCCCACAGAAGGACAGAACCACCATGAACCTGGTCATGTGGTGAGTAGCAGCTACGCTAGGGGGGAGGAGCCTATGTGGTGACGTCACATATGCAACGTTCTGATTTCTGGTGTGTAGTCATGCTAATTACGAACTTTGACTAGCTGATAAATCTCAACCCAAACCCACGTTACTTTTCATTTAACCTGCAGTACAACATACATGTGATCCACATATATTTTAGTATAACTCCGGTTTAACTCGGGCTCTTAACAGAAATAAAAACTAGTGTGTAGGTTATAACCTCTCGAAGCTCAGAGAGGCGGAGTCTTACTGCTGCGATGTCCCAAAGGTGTGTTTTCATTGGTCGGTTGCAGGGCTGCCACGATTAGTCGACGCGTCACGGCGTCGAGAAATAAATAAATAAACGACGATTAATTTAATAGTGCATGGGTGTGTCCGAATCTACGGGAAGGATGATTGTAAGACCGCATTTTGAGGTAGATGACGTCACAGCGCAGCGGCGAGTACGGTCCCAATTCCAAGAATACTCATTCTTGCATCCTCAAACGCGTCCTCGCTCCGCCCACATTTCGAGGACGGGTCTGTTGTAAAATGGGGAGAGCTCCGAAGCTTTAAACGTAAGTTTGTTAAAAACTAGCCGTAGAAACCTAAAAAGCTTAAAGCGGTTCAGTTTATAGACATTTGTTGTTTGTATATTTGTTTTTTAAATTACATTTTAGGCAGAAATCAGCCAGAACGAGTTTGTATCGCGGAACCCAGTTATTCCAGTGTGTGTGTGTGTGTGTGTGTGTGTGTGTACTCCTTTTCACAGGACGAGTTTGTTACGTGCACACCTCAGCAAGCTAACGTCCTGACCGAGGCCATTGTGAGCATGGTGGTCACCAGACTCCTGTCCATGGTCGGTATCAAGGTTTCAGAGCAATGATCAAGCTGCTCAACCAAGGTTACCATGACAACTACCTACCTGGTCGGTCCCGTTTTACCAGTATAATGGAAAGGAAATATGACAGAACCTTTAAGGTAGGTGTGTGTGTGTGTGTGTGTTTCTCTCTGGACACAAATAAAATAATTAGAATAAAATACATTTCATGATCAAATTAAAAGGTATGACTGAACAACAAGAAACTACTATTTTTAAAGCATAAAACATTTTCTTTGTGTTAAATCTGAACCTACTTCACTTGATTTAACTGAATTATTAATCTGGTAAATAAACTAACTTTAAAGCTTCTTTCGGGAGTATTTCTCTTATTTGATGGCACCATCTAGTGGCTGACAAGCATATCACACTCCTGTTTGTTTAAGATGGTGACTTCTGTAGCTAAAACACGTTGTTTTACGAGTACTGTTCTCATGTCATGTTGTGTTCTCATATATTTATATTTTAGAGACTTTCTTGTCTGTGAAAAGTTCATCAACTCTGCATCAGCCGAGGTGTTCCTTAAGCCTGAAGCAGGTAAGCGGTAGTTTAACGCTATTGGTTCAGGTCAGTTTCCTATTGCACGGAGCTCTGTGGGTCAGGGGGCGTGGTTAGCAACTAAATAAAAAAAGACGTATTGCTTACATTATATCACAATACCTGATAAGATCATCACTTTTACAGATTTCTGACAAATCATACATCATTTCTGAATGGGGAAAACTCCAGAAAGATACTTTAATATCTTTTATCTTCTCGGTAAAGCAGACCCTCAGAGCTGTCGATGGTCTGACTGCTGACGTGTGGACCAGCCGTGCTACAGAGGCGTGCCTTGGTGTCTCCTGCTATCTCCTGAGTTATGATTGGAAGATGAAGCGCTTCAACCTTGCCACCATGCCTCTTGTGAACAAGTCATTTTTGGTTTAAGGAGCCTACTTCCATCTAACTGCAGCATTTGTATTAACAGGCTACAAATTAATTAAGTTGTTGATAAGCGATCATCTTGTCTTTACTAGCTGGCACACAGCTGATCACACTTCAGACTAGAAGCTAATGATGGTAAATTAGAGCATCCTGGTGCAACAAGCTAAACTTTAATGAATGACACGATGAGTCGACTATTAAAATAGTCGTTTGTGGCAGCCCTAGTCAGGAATCGTAGATTTTCAAGCAGTGCTTGAAGATTTTTTGAGGCTGATTTGGTTGTGAGACAGCTCAGAAAGCTGTCACAGAGCCGGTCACACACAGCATGGTACACATACATGCAAATCACCCTGATGTTGACCTTTTTTGTCACAACTCTGCTAAGGACGAGGGACTTAAGACGACCAAAAATCACACCGTGTGATCAGGGCATAAGGAAGGTCTGCTCACCTTTCATCACACAGGCATCAGATGATTAATTCCTCGTCATGACCCGTTATCTACCCATCATCCTCCATTCATCCAACTGGAACCAGTAAGAGTTCTGATCATTTCTTTAGTCCCGCTTTAACGCCGACTGAAACCGTCTCAGATTGTCGTGCACGCTCTGGGGTTGTTAGTAAATTTAAGTCCTCGGCGGTGTTGCCAACTGCACCTGACAAGAAGTAGCTGAAGTTGACCCACAAATCACCCAGATGTTGCCAGGCGCTAATTTGCATATTGGTGACGTCATCACGCCACACTGGCGTTCATTTCCCTCTCAACATTCAATAATATATAGATTAAAATAAATACGTGTCTATTTATGATCTTTTTCACCGAAGACTTAAACCACGTTGGTCTTTCTTAGGAGTAAAAGTGAGGAAAATACAAATATTTTATTAGTTACAACATTAAATGATTAAAATGGCCCTAATTGCTTTGATGTGTGAAATAAATCCTAAAGGTATAAATGAAGTGATATTAAAACTGATTTGGTGTGGTGATCAGCTGTTAGGACAAAGCCCAGACCTCCTGCTCTCCGGTTTCCTCATCTATAATAACGGCGGCACAACGGTGCACAGAGCGGGTCTCAAGATTTAACGATCCCCGTGTCACTGAAGGAAATTCAATCATGCTCATCGATCCTCTTGATTATCGACTTATATTTAGAAATATATATTTATATAACATATTTATATTTCCGTATAACTAAATATCCCTGCGGTTATTCCATATTTAGATTCCGCCTCCACCAGGACACAACGGCTCTCCGGTGCCACGTCTGACGTTAGCTTAGCCGAAGCCACCATTAACTTACAATGAGCGAGCCGCCGGTCGCCTTTAGAGTGCGTACATCTCATTCATAAGCACGAATGTGAAAGCAACCCTGAAACGGCAACGAATCAAACATCTGTGGAGAACTTGGGGGTCAATCCTGTCGCTAGTGGTAGTTAGCATTAGCTCCAGAGGCCCGTTAGCATCGACACGGCTCGGCCCGTTTGCTACTGTTCGCGCAGTTCCTTACCCATTTTTCAGGTCCACTTCAAGAATTTTGCCGTATCCCTTGAAGAACCTCTCCACGTCCTTCTCCCTGGCTCTGTAGCTCAACCTTCCGATGTAAACACGAGACATGTTAGCCTGTGAGAGTTGCCAAAGCGCGCCGGAACGAAGAACAAGCTAAAGTACTCTTCTTCTGCGGGGACCGGCAGGCTAGACGCACCAAAGGCGTATCGCTGCCCCCTGCTGGTACAACCCGGTTCTCCTCAAACCTCACACTCAGCAACAATGCAGCAACGCCCCCAAAATAATGCTGTTCTTTCGGTTCAGCTTCTCAAATGAAACACGGTCTCTAATTCCATTTTTGGTTCCTTTTAAAACACAGGAAAGGTTTCTCATTACCTTGCTGACAGTTTCGTTTGCCGACTGCAAAACATCCTCAGGGCTGATGCTCCATGTCTAACCTTTCCTGTGTTTTAAAAAGAGCCAACCACATCTTGTGCTGTAATCAAGGTTCTCAAAGTTGCCACCGAATCACTTAAATGATGGGGCCAGAAAGGTTTTTAGGGTGACACACCAAACTGGCCCTTGCTGTAACTCTGGGAGAGTTTAGCACGTCTACATTTATTAGCTGCAGCCGTTGCTAGTGTAGCGTACCAAAGGCCAACAGATTGGTTATTTGTCCACTGTAAGGTCAGAGGTCATCACACAGAAGCATCCAGGTTGTTTCATGTGCTTGGGGTATTATGTGCCACATCTTAACTGTCTGGTCTGCAAACCAGTAAACACACTGCTCTACGACCTTGTTACCAGGAAGGGAAGCCATGATAAAGTCCTTCTCCTGACTCCTTTATTTGAGCAGCAAACCCAAGGTCCATGCAGAAGACGAGACTTTTACTCTGAATAATCTTCTCCGGCTTATAAATGATTATAATTTTATAAGTGTTATATAATCATATTTTGTGATCGAACAATATGTTGAAATCCAAAGAGTTTTAATAATGTGTCCTATACTTTAATTAATGACTGATGGGTTAACATGAATATTTTCCTGTAATGATTCATTTTGGATCTTAAATTAGACCTGATCAGTAATTCTCCAATTTGATGTTAATCTATCAGTATACTATCGTTAATGGTTTAACATTTCTGCCTCACATTAAGAATAACCTCTCTAAGTATGTAAGTAAGTCTCTAAATAGTTAGTAACCCTAACCCATTTCCCCACTAATCTATTCTATTCTATTATGTTGCATTCTATTCTATTCTATGTGGGCGACGGTGGCACAGGAGTTAACTGCTCGCCCTGTAATCGGAAGGTTGCAGGTTCGAGCCCCACTCAGTCTGTCGCTGTCGTTGTGTCCTTGGGCAAGACACTTAACCCACGTTGCCTGCTGGTGGTGGTCGGAGGGACCGACCTCGCCTGTCAGTGCGCCCCAGGGCAGCTGTGGCTACGTTGTAGCTCACCACCAGTGTGTGAATGTGTGTGTGAATGGGTGAATGACTGATTGTGTTGTAAAGCGCCTTTGGGGGTTCCAGGACTCTAGAAGGCGCTATATCAAATACAGGCCATTTACCATTTATTCTATTCTGTTCTATTTTGTTCTGTTCTATTCTAAGTTCACACTTTCTTTACAAAACTCCCTAAAACGTGTTTTTGTGCTAGCAGGACCATAGACATCTATGTTTGTGTAGGGCAGGTTTGCGGCTACATGAAGTAGCCAATCGCAGTAGAGACCTTCTAGCCAATCAGAGGCGAGAAAGGCGGGTCCTTCCTTGGACATACTCCGATTCTAAATAATGGCTGTGTCTCAATTCAGGGTCTGCATCCTACGTCGGCCGGATTCGTCGGCCGGTTACGTCACAGCGCCGCGACTCGGCCTGTCCCAATTCGAAGACTCCTTCAAATGCGGTCGACGAATGCGGCC